ATGGCACCCTTTGGGGGTGGCTTGTCTTGGGGCTTCCTGAAAGGCAGAACAAGGAAGGAACGTACGGAAGAGCACAGGGAAGGTGGCTGAGTGAGGGTGAGGAGCTGGGTGCCAGGGAGGAAGGCTGGCTTGGGGTACTCAGCGCAGAGTCTTGTGGGAGCAGTGGGAAGGTATCTCCTGGTAGCTCTTGATGAGGAGGGCAGGGATTTTCTGCCGGATGAACACGTCCTTGTAGCAACAATTGCTATAGGGGCTGCAGACTGAGAGGAGGCAAAAGGGATTGGTGCTTTCCCACCCCTGGCACAAGGGATGTGGGGGTACCCCTGAGACTCTCTTGCTCCCTTCTGCTACAAGGGGTCCCCTCTCACATCCCTGGCAGTGCTGCTTTGCTGCAGGGTAGGAACCCCCTGTTTCCCTGCCCACGGAGGGCTTACTACTGATCTCCCCAGCCTGGGTGCCAGGTCTGACGCTAACTCTGAATCTCTGCTCTGATCAGGGGAGCAGGGTGAGAAAGGCTGTTTGTGCCAAAATTGGGACTAAGCTGGGAGCTTTCTCCTGGCAGTGGTCTTCTGCCAGCAACAGCAGCAGAGCCTGGGGGTGTCCATCCACAGAGCAGCTCCTCAGCTCTTCAACACGGCGATGCTGCAAAGCAATTCCCTGCCTGGAGCTTGCTGCCTCCTTGGGATTGCCACTGGGGCTCTGGCCATTCAGCTTTGTGCCTCAGCCTGGCTCATGCCTGGTGGGGGATCCTTGCAGCAGTGGCAGTGTTGGTGCTGTGGCGTTTGGGGCACCCAAATGGAATCTGAAAGTTGCACTTCCACGGCCAGCGTTTCCCTTTCTGCGGTTTCCTTCTCCAGCTCAGCAAATCGGGGTGCTCTGACATAATTTCCCTGGTATCATGGACTCATTTTCTTTCCTTGAAAGCCTGTGCGGGCCACGTGGCCGGGGAGGAAAGGAGGGCATGGCCACAGGGCTGAGCCTTGTGCAGAGCCCTGCAGAGCCCAGCTCCAGCCCTGCTTCAGATGCCTCAGCTCCGCAGCACCATGAAGTTCTCTGCAGCCGCTCTGGTCGCTCTCCTCCTCGTGGCTGCCTGCTCCCCATCTGAGGCCCATCTCAGTGAGTCCAGCATTGCTGCACCCTCCCTGGGGCGCACTGTGCCATTGCTCCATAGGAGCTGCTGGGGCAGAGCGTGAGCTCCATCCCCATCAGGAGGGGGAGAGCTGGGAGCAGGAGGTCAACGCTGGGACCCAGGGAATAGCACACAAGAGGGGACATGGGAGACGGCAAATCCTCCGGGAACCCCTGTGTCTGGGGTCTCCCCAGGGCTCTCTGTCTCTGCCCTCACAGATGGTGTCCCCACCACGTGCTGCTTCACTTACCAGCAACGCCCCATCCCACGGCACCTCATCACCCCTGCTTATATCACCAGCAGCAGCTGCAGCCAGCCAAGAGTGATGGGAGTAGCTCTGGGGGCTAAGAGGGCAATGTCCACATCCCTCTGCCCCAGCCATGGCTGGGGAACTATCGCAGGCACCCCCGCTGCCCCGGCCGAGCACTCTAACGTGGGACTTGTCCTGGCAGCATGATCATCACCAAGAAGGAGCTGTGCACAGATCCCAGGGGTCCTGGCTGCAGGCACATCTGCAGCGCTTCCAGAGCCTGAAGAACTGACCCTTCCCCTTTGCCACCCGTCATGCCCCTGGTGCTTCCCCAGCCCCGAGTACACAAGAGACCACTTGGACTGCAGCCTTCTTCAGTGGGAAAGCTTTCTATTTAACTTAATTAAACAAAGTACTTTTTGCTAAAAAGAGGGGGGAAAAAACACCAAATAAAATAAATTATATCAAAAGTAATAATTTAAACTGAAAATTATTTAAACCATATCAATTTACTTGCTAATGAACAGTCAGGAGTTTCAATGCCTGAATAAAGTATTTGTGTTATCAACTCCTTTGTGTGCTCTGAGGTCCCCGCTGGAGCCCCGATGGGAGAGACAAGACCCATGGTGACACCCATGCTCTCCACGCATCCTAGGGTCACTGCTCTCTCTGGAACAGAGCATCCTCAGCCCCACAGCATCCCCCATGGTGCCTCCCCCTCCGGAACCTGGGTTCAGCTCCAGTGCCACCAGCATCTCCACTGGGTGCCCAGTGCCAGCTCCTATTTGGGAAGCAGCCCGGCATCCCCTGTGATGCCAGGAGGAGGTTGGGGACAAAGCAGCGGCTCTTGCCCTGCAGCGCTCAGGCGCAACCAGCAAACCCACGTCTGTGAAGCTCCAAGTTTTATTAGAGAGAACCCGCACATCTCTAGGGTAGGGTCTGGGAGGGCAGGTTGGTGTCGGGGTGCCGACGGCGAGGAGAAGCCAGACACAACAACCCAATATGAGCGATAAACAAGCTTCTATTTTATTCGTGTTGTACATGCTTCTATCCTCGTAGCGTTAATTATGCCTCCCTGTTTACAAGGGTCTTCAACCGCAGCTCCGCCCCTAGGGACTTTCCCCAGAGGTCAAGGACAGTGTGCCCTTCAGCTTAAGTCATGTACATGTGAGGCCTACACTTTGCTTTGCTGGCACAAGGCCTCCAAGGATCCATGGCCTTGCTCCTGGAGCCATTCTGCAACAATTCCCCCTTTTTTCTTTCGTGCGAGCAAAACATTGTTGGTCATTCTGCTCACTTGTTTCATTAAACAACCATAAACAAGTTTAACAATTATAACGATTAAAATAATAACGATACATAAGCGCAATCCTTCAAGTAACAGTATTTTAAGCCAACCTGTAATGCCCCATGAGGACAACCCTTTAGTTATCCCCAGGTCATTACTCACTTGCAATTGCTGGCTAAGCTGAGTCAGGGCTTTCAGCTGGGCGTGTATCTAATTAGAATGATCAGAAAGATTCATGCAACACATTCCATCAAATTCTTCACATCCATGTTCTTGTGCTAACAACAAAAAGTCTATAGCGGCTCTGTTTTGCAGTGTTGCATGTCTTACAGAGTCAACATCAAACAACAAGTCAGAAATTGCCTTCGATGTAGCATTTGTCTGCTTAGCAAGCCAGCAACCTAGCCTGTTTAACTGAGCCAAGGCCCCGGCCGAGGCCACACCTGGCGCGAAAAAAGAAGCTGCTATAATTGCGTCAGGGAACCAATATTTTACATCAGCTCTACAATCAACAGTAAAACTGTGTACAAAGCATTTCAAGCGCCTTAAATGGTGCTGTCAAACATATTAAGAATCACTGAGGTGTTGGGGGTCAACAATGTCAGCCTTCCAATGGAGCAAGGTCCCTGTTGTGGCGGGCCGTAGGCCGGCTGTGGGCCGCAGCTCCCAGCCGGTGATGTCGCAGTTGGTGCTGACCACTGGGCGGAGGCTTGAACGGGGGCTGCAATTGTTGTCTGCGTGCGGCGGCCATTTGCGCTCCTCTGTCCGTTTCCCAAACGGCTGCAGGCTTCTGTGCTGTGGTTGTATAATTAGAGCATCACACAGCCCTTCTGCAGTTCTGTTTCATAAGTCCTTCCCTTTGCTTGTCTCGCACAAGGCCTCCAAGGATCCATGGCCTTACTCCTGGAGCCCTTCTGCAACGTCGGGGCGTCCTGCCGGGATCCCAGCCTCTTCGTCCCCAGGTGAGGTGTCAGGAGCTGGGACACTGTGTGAGGGTCCCTGTGCCAGTGGGTCCAGCACCTGGCCTGGCAGCAAGGCGGGCACTGCAAGGGGCAGGGGAATGATGAGCACAGCTAGCCTGTGCCACGCTCGCTCCCTCCCTCCCTCCATCACAGCCCTGAGCCTGTCCCCATGTCCCAAGTAGCAGTGGTGGCCACATGGCTCTTGGGATCTTGTGTCCCGCCCCCCAACTTGCAGGCCTCACCAGTGCCCGTGTCGCTGCAGTCACAGCATTCCCAGGAATCCACCTCCTCTCCCAGGTTGGAGCAGCGCCGGTGGGTCCCTCTGGAGCCACAGGAGTGGCAGAGCAACAGTCGCCAGGGCTGGGGGGCAATGGGACCCATTGCAACCAAAGGCCCCCTGAGATGGATGGGGGTTGCCAGCCTGGTACCTCCATCGCCACCCGAAGGGGGCGACCTCAGGGACCACCAGCACTCACCCATTCTCCTCTGCCTCCTCCCGTCCCGCGGGGCACAGGCACTGGCTGGTGTCGCAGGATCTGTGCCGCTCATAAAGGCTGGCAAAGGCTCCATTCTCCTCCCAGGCAGCATCCCTGTGGGACCAGAGGAGCGCTCAGGCCTGGGGATGTGGGGAGGCAGGAGGGGATCGGCCAGAGCAACGCAGAGGGGAAGGAGGCATGGGGAGGGCACCGACCTGTCTGGGATTTTGATGCCCAGGCGGAACATCTCTTTTTGGAAAGTGTCCTTGTCATTGCAGAGAGGGCAGCGGAAGTAGTGCAGGGCAGAGCGCAGCGCCTGGCCCTGGGACAGACACAGCATCAGCACCAGCGGTGGTGGGGTCCCATTCACCCTCCCCAGGAGCTTGGTGATGGGGTGACCAGGGTCCATGACGTCGTGGTACTGGAGGTGCTTGCTGCTGCCTACCTGAATACAGTGGCGGTGGAACCAGGCGCTGGTGCAGGTGGGACAGACCAGGGTGTCATAGCACGGCCGCTCCGCCACCACCTCCTGGCAGATGAGGCACAGGCTCTGCTCCTGCTGCACCGCCCGCACCCGCTGCAGCGGCCGGTGCTTCCAGCAGAAGGACCTGCGGACAGAGGTGATGATTCAGCCCCAGCTCTCGGCCATCCCGGCCCTGGCTCTGGTACCCCAGGGCGGTGACACTCACTTGTACTCCCCAGAGAACTGGGAGATGCAGCCCCGCTCGCTGCCGCAGGGGTCGTGGAAGGTGCGGGGACAGCGCCGGGCTCTGCAGGTGACCGAGGCGCCCGGCTGGCGGCATATGCAGCACCTCTGGGGATGACAGGAGGTGAATGGTGTCAGTGCCACATAGAACCATAGAGCCATGGAATCAACCAGGTTGGGAAAGACCTTCAAGCTCATCCAGTCCAACCGTTCCCCAGCACTGCCAAGGCCACCACTAAGCCATGGCACTGAGGGCCTCACCTACATGGGGTGTGAACACTTGCAGGGACGGTGACTGCAGCACTGCCCTGGGCAGCCTGTTCCAATGCCTGAGCACCCTCTGGGGAAGGAATTGTTCCTCAGCTCCATCTAAACCTGCCCTGGTGCAGCTTGAGGCCGGTTCCTCTTGTCCCATCCCTTGTTTCTTGGGAGCAGATACCGCTCCCTCCTGTCAGGCAGTTGTAGAGAGCTCTAAGGTCCCCCCTGAGAAATTCTCTTCTCCAGACTAGCGCCCTGCCCCCCCCCCAGGTCCCTCAGCCATTCCCCATCAGGCTTGTGCTCCAGGCCCTGCACCAGCTCCGTTGCCTGTGGGGAGCGAAGGCGAAAAGATTGGCATGAAAAAGAGTTTGGGAATGAGCTCCGAAGCCTTGGTGCTTTGACAAGCCCTGCGGCAATGAGCTGGGGCCTTGAAGGCCAGACAATGTGGGGGCTGTGAGAGGGTCTGCAACGCCGTGATTGGACTATTTACCTGGAGAGTTTCACCGTGGCCAATGAGATTGAACGTTGTATGCATGTGCAGGTTGGGAAAGGACCCACCAAGGGGATAAAAAAGGCTTGGTGGGAATAAAGGAGGATTTGAGGCTCTGCATCAACTTGAGTCCCTGTCGTGAAACTCCACAATTGCCCTTCTCTGGAGCCATGCCCCTGGGGATTCCTGTTTGCCCTCATCCAGCACAACCCCACCACGTTCCAGTGACACCGGACCACTGATAAATCCACTTTGTCTCTCCCAGTCCCAATTTCCAGAAAAGAGGACTTTTTGGATCAAGGGGCATCTGGGCAGTTGCTTGCAGCCAGCTGCCAGAGCATCCCTGGGGGATTGCTGGGCTGTGCAGTGCTGGACATAGGGAATGGAGACCGTGATGCCCTCAGGCCTCACCTTCTGTGCCACCCGCTTCAGCTCCTCCTTGATGTCAGGGAAGAGGAAGCCGTAGAAGCCCTCTTCATCGGCCCCTCTCTGTTGCAGCCTGCCGGCGTGGTACTGCAAGAGGGGAGAAGAGGGTATGTGCCAGGGGCTGCTGGCGGTGCGGGGCCGTGGAGAGGGGGGTGTCAGGACCAGGCACTCACCAGGCAATTTTCATGCACGCAGAAACCACCCTGACGGCAAAGCTGTCCCACCACCTCGGGGTTGCAATCGGCCCGCCGGCAGAACCCGCACACTGCAGGGGGGGCAGCAGCATCACCCCCTGCACTGTGACGGGGTCCCAGTGTAATGCTGGGAGCGGGATGGGGGAGAGACGCAACCACCTTCCTATGGTGCTTGCGTCCACAGTCCCCTCTGGCAGGGTCCCAGCGGGATGCTGTGCACTCACCTTCCTCACCAGGGCCGTCCTGCTGCCTCTTGCACTGGGGAGGCGCACAGGAGGGCTCGTTCTCCTCTGGCAGCGCTGCTGGACACGGGGCCTTGCGGCGCCGTGATTTGCGCTTCATCACTGCAAGTGGCTGCAGCCAAGGAGGTGGCTGGGCCTGGCAATGTTGGTTTGCTCAAAGACCCTACTGATGTGGGGCTGCGGGGGGGCGCCCTTTAAGTGCAGGGTGATTGTGATGCGGCAGCGCACGAGGGCTCCGCCCGGGGCATCTGGAATGCGGGGAGAGGCACAGGGCTGCGATCCAGGGACAGATGGAGGGAGGGAGCGTGGTGTGGGCTGGCTCTGCTCATCGTCTCCCTGCCCCTCGCAGTGCCCACCTTGCAGCCAGCCCAGGCGCTGGACCCACCGGCACGGGACCCACCAGTACAGGGGGACGATGGCTTCCCTGGCCCTGCTGCCGCGCTATTGCTGATACAAACCAGGATGCCGTTGACCTTCTTGGCCATCTGGCCACAGACGTGGCTCAGCTTTAGCTGGCTTTTGACCACCACCCCAAGCCATTTCCACCAGCCTCTTTTCCCTGGTGCATGGAGTTGTTGTGACCCAAGTGCAGCATTAGCACTGAGCCTTGGTGAACCTCGCCTGGGCATGGGCTGCTTCATCTTGGAGGGGATCGGCCGTACCCCTTTTTGGTTTCCCTGCCCTTCCAGGCCTCCTGGACTATTCCTGGGTCCCCGTGGTGAGAACAAATGCTGATGTGACCCGTTTATCCCGCAGGATTTATCCAGTCTCACTCCAGCAGCAGATCCGCATGAGATCTTGTATTAAACCTATTGAGCAATGTACGGCTTATGGGGAAGGCAGCTTCACGCGGACGTGCGGGTTGACTGCTTCTGCCGCTGGTGCTGCTGGGACGAGTCCTGGACCACGCAGAACCTCTTTCCCATTCTGCAGCTCCACGCTGCGGGGGAGAGAAGGGCTGCGTTAGATGGGGGAATGCAGGGTGAGCCATGCCCTGGGGTGCCCTGCAGCATCCTTTCCCCACATCCCCCCAAAGGTCTGACTTTAAGCAATCTGGAGCCTTGGCTTCCTTCCCGCTTTTCTTGATGGCAGCTGAAATGGGGAGTTCTGGGGCTCTTTGGGCTAGAGCAGTGAGAAAGGAAGTGCATGGGAAGAGCCAGTGCAGTCCCCCCTTCATGGCACCCTTTGGGGGTGGCTTGTCTTGGGGCTTCCTGAAAGGCAGAACAAGGAAGGAACGTAGGGAAGAGCACAGGGAAGGTGGCTGAGTGAGGGTGAGGAGCTGGGTGCCAGGGAGGAAGGCTGGCTTGGGGTACTCAGCGCAGAGTCTTGTGGGAGCAGTGGGAAGGTATCTCCTGGTAGCTCTTGATGAGGAGGGCAGGGATTTTCTGCCGGATGAACACGTCCTTGTAGCAACAATTGCTATAGGGGCTGCAGACTGAGAGGAGGCAAAAGGCATTGGTGCTTTCCCACCCCTGGCACAAGGGATGTGGGGGTACCCCTGAGACTCTCTTGCTCCCTTCTGCTACAAGGGGTCCCCTCTCACATCCCTGGCAGTGCTGCTTTGCTGCAGGGTAGGAACCCCCTGTTTCCCTGCCCACGGAGGGCTTACTACTGATCTCCCCAGCCTGGGTGCCAGGTCTGACGCTAACTCTGAATCTCTGCTCTGATCAGGGGAGCAGGGTGAGAAAGGCTGTTTGTGCCAAAATTGGGACTAAGCTGGGAGCTTTCTCCTGGCAGTGGTCTTCTGCCAGCAACAGCAGCAGAGCCTGGGGGTGTCCATCCACAGAGCAGCTCCTCAGCTCTTCAACACGGCGATGCTGCAAAGCAATTCCCTGCCTGGAGCTTGCTGCCTCCTTGGGATTGCCACTGGGGCTCTGGCCATGGAGCTTTGTGCCTCAGCCTGGCTCATGCCTGGTGGGGGATCCTTGCAGCAGTGGCAGTGTTGGTGCTGTGGCGTTTGGGGCACCCAAATGGAATCTGAAAGTTGCACTTCCACGGCCAGCGCTTCCCTTTCTGCGGTTTCCTTCTCCAGCTCAGCAAATCGGGGTGCTCTGACATAATTTCCCTGGTATCATGGACTCATTTTCTTTCCTTGAAAGCCTGTGCGGGCCACGTGGCCGGGGAGGAAAGGAGGGCATGGCCACAGGGCTGAGCCTTGTGCAGAGCCCTGCAGAGCCCAGCTCCAGCCCTGCTTCAGATGCCTCAGCTCCGCAGCACCATGAAGTTCTCTGCAGCCGCTCTGGTCGCTCTCCTCCTCGTGGCTGCCCGCTCCCCATCTGAGGCCCATCTCGGTGAGTCCAGCATTGCTGCACCCTCCCTGGGGCGCACTGTGCCATTGCTCCATAGGAGCTGCTGGGGCAGAGCGTGAGCTCCATCCCCATCAGGAGGGGGAGAGCTGGGAGCAGGAGGTCAACGCTGGGACCCAGGGAATAGCACACAAGAGGGGACATGGGAGACGGCAAATCCTCCGGGAACCCCTGTGTCTGGGGTCTCCCCAGGGCTCTCTGTCTCTGCCCTCACAGATGGTGTCCCCACCACGTGCTGCTTCACTTACCAGCAACGCCCCATCCCACGGCACCTCATCACCCCTGCTTATATCACCAGCAGCAGCTGCAGCCAGCCAAGAGTGATGGGAGTAGCTCTGGGGGCTAAGAGGGCCATGTCCACATCCCTCTGCCCCAGCCATGGCTGGGGAACTATCGCAGGCACCCCCGCTGCCCCGGCCGAGCACTCTAACGTGGGACTTGTCCTGGCAGCATGATCATCACCAAGAAGGAGCTGTGCACAGATCCCAGGGGTCCTGGCTGCAGGCACATCTGCAGCGCTTCCAGAGCCTGAAGAACTGACCCTTCCCCTTGCCACCCGTCATGCCCCTGGTGCTTCCCCAGCCCCGAGTACACAAGAGACCACTTGGACTGCAGCCTTCTTCAGTGGGAAAGCTTTCTATTTAACTTAATTAAACAAAGTACTTTTTGCTAAAAAGAGGGGGAAAAAAACACCAAATAAAATAAATTATATCAAAAGTAATAATTTAAACTGAAAATTATTTAAACCATATCAATTTACTTGCTAATGAACAGTCAGGAGTTTCGATGCCTGAAGAAAGTATTTGTGTTATCAACTCCTTTGTGTGCTCTGAGGTCCCCGCTGGAGCCCCGATGGGAGAGACAAGACCCATGGTGACACCCGTGCTCTCCACGCATCCTAGGGTCACTGCTCTCTCTGGAACAGAGCATCCTCAGCCCCACAGCATCCCCCATGGTGCCTCCCCCTCCGGAACCTGGGTTCAGCTCCAGTGCCACCAGCATCTCCACTGGGTGCCCAGTGCCAGCTCCTATTTGGGAAGCAGCCCGGCATCCCCTGTGATGACAGGAGGAGGTTGGGGACAAAGCAGCGGCTCTTGCCCTGCAGCGCTCAGGCGCAACCAGCAAACCCACGTCTGTGAAGCTCCAAGTTTTATTAGAGAGAACCCGCACATCTCTAGGGTAGGGTCTGGGAGGGCAGGTTGGTGTCGGGGTGCCGACGGCGAGGAGAAGCCAGACACAACAACCCAATATGAGCGATAAACAAGCTTCTACTTTATTCGTGTTGTACATGGCTTCTATCCTCGTAGCGTTAATTATGCCTCCCTGTTTACAAGGGTCTTCAACCGCAGCTCCGCCCCTAGGGACTTTCCCCAGAGGTCAAGGACAGTGTGCCCTTCAGCTTAAGTCATGTACGTGTGAGGCCTACACTTTGCTTTGCTCGCACAAGGCCTCCAAGGATCCATGGCCTTGCTCCTGAAGCCATTCTGCAACAATTCCCCCTTTTTTCTTTCGTGCGAGCAAAACATTGTTGGTCATTCTGCTCACTTGTTTCATTAAACAACCATAAACAAGTTTAACAATTATAACGATTAAAATAATAACGCTACATAAGCGCAATCCTTCAAGTAACAGTATTTTAAGCCAACCTGTAATGCCCCATGAGGACAACCCTTTAGTTATCCCCAGGTCATTACTCACTTGCAATTGCTGGCTAAGCTGAGTCAGGGCTTTCAGCTGGGCGTGTATCTAATTAGAATGATCAGAAAGATTCATGCAACACATTCCATCAAATTCTTCACATCCATGTTCTTATGCTAACAACAAAAAGTCTATAGCGGCTCTGTTTTGCAGTGTTGCATGTCTTACAGAGTCAACATCAAACAACAAGTCAGAAATCGCCTTCGATGTAGCATTTGTCTGCTTAGCAAGCCAGCAACCTAGCCTGTTTAACTGAGCCAAGGCCCCGGCCGAGGCCACACCTGGCGCGAAAAAAGAAGCTGCTATAATTGCGTCAGGGAACCAATATTTTACATCAGATCTACAATCAACAGTAAAACTGTGTACAAAGCGTTTCAAGCGCCTTAAATGGTGCTGTCGAAACATATTAAGAATCATTGAGGTGTTGGGGGTCAACAATGTCAGCCTTCCAATGGAGCAAGGTCCCTGTTGTGGCGGGCCGTAGGCCGGCTGCGGGCCGCAGCTCCCAGCCGGTGATGTCGCAGTTGGTGCTGACCACTGGGCGGAGGCTTGAACGGGGGCTGCAATTGTTGTCTGCGTGCGGCGGCCATTTGCGCTCCTCTGTCCGTTTCCCAAACGGCTGCAGGCTTCTGTGCTGTGGTTGTATAATTAGAGCATCACACAGCCCTTCTGGAGTTCTGTTTCATAAGTCCTTCCCTTTGCTTGTCTCACAAGGCCTCCAAGGATCCATGGCCTTACTCCTGGAGCCCTTCTGCAACGTCGGGGCGTCCTGCTGGGATCCCAGCCTCTTCGTCCCCAGGTGAGGTGTCAGGAGCTGGGACACTGTGTGAGGGTCCCTGTGCCAGTGGGTCCAGCACCTGGCCTGGCAGCAAGGCGGGCACTGCAAGGGGCAG